TCAGACAATAGGCCACTTGCACTAAGAGGTCCCGTGACCAATGCTTCCTTTAAACAATGAGTTGGAATGTTGCTGATGCCAAAAATTGACAGAACACAGAAAAATTATCTTACACTCGAAATTTGAGAGACAATGCCTTTAAGGGAGATATTTTATGGCACTTTGATTTTTCAACAAAGCACTATGATTTGTATTGGCCGCCATGTTGGAGGGCATACTCTTGCCCTCCAACATGGCGGTCAAAACTACTTCTTGCTTATATCTTATTAAACGTCTTATAGTTACGCTCAGATGTGCTGTAAACGTTACCACATCATCTTTTCAACATTTTTCTAGAAGTTTAAGTGCAAAATTTGAGTTCAGAAAGAGGTAGTTCATAATTTTAAAAAATCACATTTTGATCACGTGACCAGCTGCGAACTTACTCGTTTTAAGAAAATGGTGCGGGTTTGAAAAACCAAATGACTATTATTTTGTTTAAGATATGACCCACTAATCGTTTTTCGATGGCAAAATCATATAACTTTCATTTTCAAAAAAACGTTGTCACACGACGTCTTAGTGCAAATGGTCATCGGCTCATGAATATACTTCCGGGCCCAGTTGTTCAAAGGCCGATTAGCGCTAACCCGAGGTTAAATTTTAATCCGGCTTGGTTTTCCTTTTTTTTAGAAGCATTTTCTCGGATAATTTCCCCTATTCTTTTAAGATCATCCCGCAGTCATCATATTGTAGATAAAAAGAATTTAAGTGAATATGCTTTTTAAGCTTTCAAATCTGAATTCAAATTTTTACTAACCCTGGGTTACCTTAACCCAGCTTTGAACAACTTGGCCCCGGATATTTAGCTCATGCATTATTACACCATTGTAGTATTCACCGTAACAATAATAATAATAATTGCCCCCGCAGGGATTTCGCCCAGAGGCGAAATCCCGAGGAGGCACCCTAGTAACTCGAGCGTATATTAAGGACAGTACTTACAGTTCAAATATACAGTCAGTATACTAGAAAAAATCTCGATTTGCTCGAGCTGGGGCCGCGAGGAATCGGTAGGTAATGATGACGTTTCTATTGTCTGCGCCCGCAAGTACGAAATGGTAAGGATGACGTAAAGACAGAAAATCCGACCGCTCAGTGTGACATTTATTGTGCAGTCATACTTCGATACTCTTTTGTGTTACGCGGTGACATTCTGTGGAGCAGTTGTTTTGAAAGTTATGGACCAAAAGACACTCGTTAACCGCAGGGGAGGTTATAAGGTGCGTTTAACTGTGTAGATATATAAACACTTGGAGAGTTTGCCAGACACGAGTTCACAAATCTTTGATTTACTTGGAAACCTTGCCAAACACTCTTTCTCTCTCTTTGACCGGAATAAGACTCAGCCCTAAACAAGCAAGACGAGTGAACAACGGCTAGCTTATCACTAGCAGATTGATGGACATTTACAGAAATTCGCCGACAATCAAATTCTGTGTTGACTTATTCCCTGCTCACAGATGTCCTTCCGTTATAAAGTTTCAAATTAGACTAGAATGCGCTAGCGTGAATCGATCAAACGTCCTTTTAATTTCTAAGGCTTACTTTCCGGCAAATAAATGAACTGAATGTAAAAAGGGAAAGAGAAATAAAAATTCAACTTCTAATTAAATCTTTTCTTATGGTTTAGAATAAACTATTCTCGAAACTGAGAATGTTTTGATCAAAGCTGTGTAAATCGAGCTGAAGTTGTGCATGGAACCTTGCGTTTCCTGTATTTATCTCACCTATTGTATGGAATATGTGTAAAAATCTTCATTATGAATCGGTATATTTCAAAGAGCTACACAACCAG